AACTAGCCATAATTCTTTTTCGCCCTCTTGTTTGCCCAACCCAACTTTTCCCACCTTCCGTGGGGCCAAGCTTTCCCTCAGTCCAGTAGGCGGCCATGCCTCACCTTACCATACGTACTCGCAAGAACTGAATTGTCCTCTCCAAACACCCAATCCCCATTACATTTCCGGAATGACTGACGAGCAGCAGTGTCAATGTGGTTGTTTCTCCCTTTGCCAAAATCTCCCCCAAATTGACAAACAGAAAGGTCACAGAGAGTTGAAACAAAAGGGAGCAGTTCACAGAGTGTTGGTGGCTGACGAATACAGCAAAGGGGAGTTTCAAAACGAAGAGGAAAATGAGGGTGGGGATGACGATGTCGATGAGCAGGGAGCGAAGTCGGCTACGCCTGGTAGGTCTTATTTCTAATCTTCACTTTCTCAACTTTTTGGTCTTATGTTTTCGATCTGGTCTGTTTGGGTTTCCTACTTTTTCTCGCTTGGCGGTTGCGCCTAGTAGGTCATTATTGTTGATGTTGCTCTGGTGTGTATGCTGTCCATTCTGCTCGAATCAGAAAGCTTACCGTCTTCAAAAATGGATTATTTGACTATTACAACAAGCTTATGGCTCTTCCCAACAAGATACTACTTACTATTACCACTCCTTGTTTGTGTTTTTGGTTTGTCTTGCTCATGTTTGTTGTTAAAAGGAACCTGATTTATGTCATTTATTTTCTTCTTTTTTTGGTAGGAAAGCAGACGCTAAAGCGTCTCAGACTCATATATTAATAAAACGAGGTAGGGAAACTCCCATAACATCGTACTCAAGCCATTTACAAAGATCATGGCTATCCACATCAACATGATGTGTTCCAAAAGTAAGATTGTGGCCAAAATTAGCAAGAAAATCAGCAGCTTGATTTCCTTCTCTATACACATGAGAAACAGACACAATCCAATCACGATTAAGGAGATTGCTGATGTGCTGAGCCAACAGCCCGTGTCTATGATCATCGTCCGAGCAATTTTTCATAATGGTAATAGCAATAGCTGAGTCCAGCTTGAGTTCAACATGGCAGAAGCCCTTCTCCCACGCAATCTCAAGCCCAACAGCTGCTCCTTTGAGTTCTGCTGCAGTGATAGAGCAGTTTCTCAGGTTGCAAGCATACGCTGCACAACAACGTCCCAAAGTGTCACGAATGAGACCTCCAGCAGCAGCAAGACCTGAGGGTGAGAGGACAGAACCATCAGTCTGGACCTGTACCCATCCCTCATGTGGAGGAATCCATCCAATCTGGACCTCGCTTCTCACTCTTTGGGGTGTGAAGCTCTTGTCCACATTTTGCAGAGCCTTCTTGTAAATATTAAACCAAGCCTCAATTCTGCAGATTAGGGATTTCTCAACATACACTCCTCGTTTCTCTGCTTCCAAAGGTGCCACACAATCCGTCCAAATTCTGTACCTTGGTTAGCATCCTCCAGATTCTTGGACATCCACACCTTGAATGGCAGGTTTCTTTCCTTGCTGGTAACCCGGGTTCTGATTTTTTCCGAGATTCCTTCAGTCCTCTTGCCGTGTCTGATTATATGCTCAGTGGTTTCTTCAGCATCTTTGCAATGGTTGCAGTTTCCATTCAATGTGAGCTTCCTTTTCATGCATTCCTTGTTTGTGAGTAATTTGTCGTGCATCACCAACCAAAGGAAGTGCTTTGTGCAGCTTGGCCCTTTCCATCTCCAAAGCTTCTTCCAGAAGCCCTCCTCTGTTGTCTCCAGCTGGTCAGCAGCAAGCTTGTATGCTGATTTGAGCCTGAACCTCCCATCCCTCTCCAAACCCCAAATGCATTTGTCTTCTCCCATGTTGCTTTTTGGAGGTTCCATTCCAACAATCAGGGAAAGGATATTGGGAGGGAGGAGGGTTTGAAGTTTCTGCCAGTCCCAGTTCCCATTGTTATCAGTCCAGTCAGCAACTGATGAGTTCTCATGGGGGATGGGAGTGTCCTGTATGGTGAAGTCCTTGAGGAAGATTCCCTGATCCAGCCATGGATGGTGCCAGAAGCTGGTGGTTCTCCCATTTCTGATGCTCTAGTTGGTAGCACTCTTCATAAGGGGCATGGCCTTCATGATTGCCTTCCACAGGCTTGAGTGATTACTTCTTTTCATTCCCACAATTTGTCCATCCTTGTGTTTGAAGTACTTTCCCTGCATAACCTGCACCCACAGTTCCGAGCTATTATTAAGAATATGCCATGCAAGCTTAATCATGAAGGCCATATTAAGACTTCTAGTAGATCTTAGTCCTAGCCCCCCTTGATTTTTTGGTTTATATACAGTTTCCCAAGAGACAAGATGGAATTTCTTCTTTTCCTCATTTGATCCCCAAACAAACCCCATGATTATTTTATCAATCAAGTCGCACACAGAAGCAGGAATCATAAAGGTCTGCATTGCATATACAGGGATAGCATTCAACACAGAGAGAGCAAGAGTCACCCTACCCGCAAGAGATAGAGTTCTAGCTTTCCAAGAAGACAGTTTAAGGTCAATTTTATCAATGATGTATCGATAAGTGTTCCTATTAATCCTACCATGAATAACTGGGACACCTAGATACTTTCCTAAGTCAAGGGTATATTGGATACCAAGTTTTTCACATATGTCTCTCCTATCTCTATCTCTAGTATTCTTGGAAAACAAGATTCTAGACTTTTCCCTGCTCACCAGCTCCCCTGAGGCATCACAGAATCGATCAACACATAGGTTGATGATTTCTTCTTGCTTCAAGGAGGCTTCTGCAAAAAGGACGAGGTCGTCCGCGAAGAAGAGGTGAGACAGGGGGGGTCCTCCAGGGGAGAGTCTAACCGGATTCCATCTCTTTTCACTAACAGCCTCAGAAATACAGTGTCTCAATCTTTCAACACAAAGCGTAAAAAAGGTAAGGGGAGAGTGGACATCCCTGTCTGAGGCCTCTGCTTGGCTTGAAACTCTCAGTTTCACCTCCTTCCCTCTGCACCTGCATATCCACTATTGTGACGCACTTCATGATGATGTTGATCAGGCTTTAGGGGATTCCTGCCAGGGTCGAGGTTTCTTCAAGGAATTCCCAGTCCAAGTGGTCATAGGCTTTCGCCAGATCCAACTTCAGAAGCATCATCCCTTTCTTTCCCACCTTCTTTGCCATTGAGTGTACATATTCCTGCAAAATAAGAATATTATCAGTAATGTGACGATTGGGCACAAAACTGGACTGGTTAGGTTTCACAAGAATAGGCATGATGTTTTTCAGCTTGTTAGCGAGGCATTTAGCTAGCACTTTGTAACAAACGTTACAAAGGATGATAGGCCTAAATTGACTCATAGAGCTAGGGGAATCAACTTTTGGGATCAAAGCCAGTAGAGTCTCATTAATGAGCCTTATACTGTCTAGATTCCAGAAGCAATTCCTAATGAAACAGAAGAAGTCTTGGCCAACAAGGTTATAGCATCTTTTAAAGAAAAGATCATGGAAACCATCTTTTCCAGGAGCCTTAAGGTCATCCATGTCCTTAACAATATTATGAATATCATCAAGGGAAGGAGGCTTAATCAATTTCTCCCAAATACGGTTATCCAGGGGCAGGAATAAAGCAATGATGGTATGCTGGGAGCATCTGGTGGCTTTGGTGAACAGCTGAACGTAGTGCTCTCTTGCCATGGCTTGTAGTTTGTCAGGATCAGTGATCCGTTCCCCATCTTCATTCTTAAGGCAGGCAATTTTGTTTCTCTTCCTCTTGCAGAGCGTACTGGTATGGAAGAACCTGGTGTTCTGATCCCCATGGATGTTTTAGTTTGCTCTTGACTTTTTGATCCAAAGGATCTCTTCTTGCCATAGGACGTCTTCCAGCAAAGATGCGAGAGCGAGAAAGAAAAATAGAAATGCCATTATAGAAGAAAGCTGATCTTCCCACTATGATAGCCTCAGTCCTTGCTTTCTAAGATAGAGATACGAAAGAAAGAAGCTAAGCCAGTGACTGGTCTTTAGACAGGGACAATGATGTAGGGTTCCTAGCATTAAGGATTTCAAGGGACTTCAATTCATTCGCCAAGATTCTTTTCTTTCTGAATATACCAAAGACCTTGTTCCAGTCTTTGAGTTTACTGAACAAGTCCTGCAAAGCACAAGGAAGGGGGTGACCATTTTTCCATTCAGAATTAACAAAGGAAAAAAATCATCATGAGCAAGCCAAGAACAAGGAATTGGAAGCGCCTCACCAATTTGGATGAAGCTGGGATGCTTTTGTTGCATAGCAGGATCGGCTTGTGGTCCGATTTCATTTTGATCAGGTGAATGATAGTGGTTTGAGGGTAATTTTGTGTCCATGCCAGGTTGCAAAGTCCTCTACCGAGCCTCTCCCTGACTCCAGATCCACCTTTGAACCATGTGAATCTAGGACCTGTAAAATCCAAGGTCCATGAGTCCACAGTCATCAATGAAACTGACCAAGGGTTTGACTTTGGCAAAACTGAAACTGGCTCCTCCCTGTTTATCAGATGGTATTGTAATGGAGTTGAAATCTCCAAATAGTATCCAAAGGCCACTGATTCTATTATTGATCCCACGAAGAGCATCCCATATTCTCTTCTTGCATGCTCATTCGGGTTGGCATAGATAGCAGTAAGAGCACAACATTCTCCACTTGACATTGAGCAGTCCAGGTGTATGAACTGCTTATGGATCTCGGTGTTGGACATCTGGACGTCACTCTTATTCCACAACACCCAGATGCCTCCACTTAATCCAGAAGCATCTGAGATCTCACAGGAATCAAAACCAAGAGTTGAGATGATGTCGATGGCATCCTTTCTACTAACTCTTGGTTCAACAATGCAAACAATATTTGGTTTGTGAGTAGACTTGTAGAAATCAAAGGTAGGAAAAAATTTGAGATGCTTTGCACCTCTGCAGTTCCAAGAGAAGACTTTAATCATAATACAGATTAGAGAGTGCTTCTCTTTCCTCAACACAGGGTTGAAATCAGACAAGGTCAAGGCCATAGCCGTCCCATCCACTTCTCCTCTGCAATGTGCTTTTGGATCATGGATGTCATTTTCAGGTTTCTGTGTTTCCTCTTCCTGCTTGGATTCAAACTGATTCTGCGGGGAGGATGCTTCACATTTTTTGGTGACAGATTGTTCTTCATGTCAGGGCTTTTGCCTTGTTTACCATTCTTCATAGCCATTTCCTTCATTTTTGGTTGATGTCCCTGCTTTGCATCCTTGGAGCTTTCTTTCTCCATCCCATTTTTTGGTTTGGATGGGTTATCCATGCTCGTAGATGTTTGCTGGTCATCAACCTGCAGGTTGGTACTATGTCCCTTGTTCCCTGATGCCATGACTTTCTACTTTGAGAGCCTTCTTGCTTCTTTTACCCAATGTTCATCTTGGCTTTAGTCTTTGGAGCCTCCTCTCCCTTTTCAATGACCAGTTTAGAGCTGGACTTTGGAAGAATATAAACAAGCAAATCTGGATTTTGATGACCAAATTGGGAGCTTCTTAGGCTGAAGGGCGTCCTTTCTGTATGTACTCCTTTCCTAACATTATGAGCGAGTTCCATGTAAAATATGTTCCAATGTTATGTTAAAGATTAAGACCCAATTTGCTTTTGTATCAAGTTTCTCTTAGGCTTTAGTAGTGGTCATTTCGATTGTAGGGTAATGTTACGGGATTCAGATTGCTAATTTATGTGGTTCTATGAGCATTTTGATTATTCGACCCTTATGCTACTATTTTGTGTTCTTTAGTCAATCCCATTTGGCTTACACTGTTGGTATTACAATATAACTCCTTTCATTTCTTTCTTCGTAGCTACCTGAGCATCACTGACTACACTGCCTTGATCCAGCAAAGAACCCGGTTCATGGGGAGGATTTTCTTTTGAAACCAGCGTCAACGCATACTTTAGTTTAAAGTAACTCCTATACCTCTATGTCTTAGGTAAACCCAGATTTGTCCATTTTCTATCTCACTTGGACTGTCACATTCATGTCATTGATTAAGTCTTACTCTATTCATGTTATTAGTTAGATTTTTGTTAACACATTACCAATTGGTGATTTGCCATTCAATGATCCACTACCAACCTTATAGTGTACTTTTTACTTGCGAAATAAACTTTCATATGTATTTTCTTTATGCAAACTAAAACGTCCATTCAACTTGATGTAGAAGGATATTGCTGTAATGTGTTTCCTCTGATGAAGTTTTAGATTGTTATTGAATTAAATTTACTATTGACTATCACCTCCCTTCTTATTGCCTTTTGTTTTTGTTAATCCATAGTTTCCCTGTGTCTTTACTTCTTCATGAAAAATGATTGACATGAGAATGGGGTAAGATGTCTACAGGCGCCATACAACTTCTTGTTGTCATGAACGTAACTTGCTGCAATATCACGATTGAGACAAAAGGTGGTAGCTAATTTAGTGATTTAAGCGTTACCAACTAAAGTGGGCAGTGCCAGGTACTACTATTTGCTGCAATATGTTACAAATTTATGTAGAATAGTGGCTTGAGAAGCTTTGTAAAGCTGCCTTTCTAGGAGCTTGATGGTTTTGAAGTTGATATGCACACACGCTCCAACATGTATAATGGCTGCTAACCTATGTGAAATGCTTGCGTGTATAGATTTTTCAAGTCAATGAACATATATGTTTATGTCGGTTAATGCTCTCACTTTAACGGGAGGTATTTGTTAAACGTGCAATTGAATATCACTAATGTGATGGTCTTCCATGATCTTTAATGTTGCAGGTGTGCACTCGGTGTGATTTTGACCAACAATGATGGAAGCTGTTTGTTGGAATGCATCCATGGAGACTTGCAAGAGCAGCTGATTCGGTTTTATGCACTGCAAGTCTGCAACTTCACGGTAGGAACTTATAATTCAGTTTTATGCACTTCAACTTCACAATCTAAGTCAGTTCTTTTCACACTTGAAGAGTGGCTGAAATTGACGGCGAGGAGGAGAAGGAAGAGACACTTTTTTTTATCTCTCTTTATGTATCGCTCTTCACCATGAGTACATACAGGTTATCTTCAAACTGTTGTTACTACTTGAAGGTTTTGGCTTGAGTGCTAAAAGTTCCTATCTAATCTACAGTTTGGAAAAGGCAGACATTGGGATATTTAGAAGCTCAAAGCTTAAATTTCAACTTTATCTTTCCGCAGAAGGTGAGTTGAGTTATGGGTTGGCTGAGTTGCACTTCTTTCTTACTCCATCTACTGAAATTGGATAAAAAAAATTTCCCGGAAGCCATGGTTGAACTGCTTTCCCGTCCTGCATTCTTTTTTATCTCTTGGGATTTTTCAGGAAGCCATTGTCGAACTGCAACTATTGGGTGACGAATCTCACAGGGCAAACTAGATACATACGTGATTTATGTTCGGTCATTTTTCATCTAGAACTCGATTTTCAGAATTCTGCTTCTCATCTTCTTCCCTAGTTTTAGAGTTTTGCTCAATGTTTTCAAGTACACTGCTTGGAGAGGTAGGGTTAGGTACTGGATCCCAGTAAATAACTCTTGTTGTCTGTTTTCAAAGGAATTGGACCCTCTTTGACCAGTCCTTTGTTCGATCTATGATGTTCGTTTGTTTGTGAAGCTTTTGCTCACTATTCTGGGCGCTATTCCTATTTGCTTTGTTTCATTGACTGTTTTTCATTTGTTTGACCTGGCAAAAGTTTGCTTTCGTTTGTTTCCAGTGCTTATGGATGACCAGATGGAAGCAGAGGTCGTGGAAGAGCTAACCAAGGTGGTAGCTTTGAAACTCGAGCTACATTTCCTACAATGATTGTTGTTCTAAATTGTAATGACTACCAAAGCTTACATATCAAAATGGTAGAAAAAAGTGTCTCAAATACCACGGACTACGTAGAGGCCGAGTCCAGGCTAAATATCACCCTCAAAGAAAATGTAAGTAGAAGAAAACTCCTCTCTATTCGATTTTCGGTTTCGTATAGAGAAGAAAGCACATTTGAATCTGCAGATTGATTGTCCTTTGGGTGATACTGTTGTACCTTCTTGGTACTGTGGCATTTTCTTCTTTTGCTTTTACCTTTTTCTATTATAGTTGCTCCTTAATTTTGTCATTGAATGGTTAAGACCCAATTGTGGATTAGATCAATATGTTGGGAGTTCAATTATCTTTTGGATTAGCCATTACTAAATATTTCCCCGAAAAACTGTTGTGGTTGAGGGAATATTGGCATTTCTCGCTAGCTGCAGTTGTGAGGTTTTGGTATTAGAGATAAAAGCTTCAATGAGCAGGTAGTGGTCATTCAACAGTCATGGATAATAATGTAGTGTGCATAAACTATTTGTCTTTCCTCGGACATGGATAATGTTCGACAATCAGAGTTCCTGGGCAATGCATTTGTTTTTTACTTTCGCTTTCGGAATGTGTAAGCTCATTGGAAAATATGTACGTTAAGAACCTTTAAAACAAGCTAATAATACCACCCTGATTGTAGTAATATGAACTACCTACCAGAAGATCATGCTGATTGGTTGGCTCATCTTCTACTGCTCTTCATTATATGTGTGAGGTAACCCTTTGACCAAACAAAGCATTCTTATGACATATGAGCAATGAAAGCACAAAAAAGTTGCATCTTTTCAAAGAGAATGAGGACAATATCTCCAGAGTTTTATTAGAATGCCAAACATCTTTTCACAATCTTTGGCTATTAGTGGTAGTTGGTTAGGTAGCCAAATTCGAGTAATGAGTGTATTTATTGTGTGTCTTTTACACTGATGTTAGGAACGGGTAGAGACTTATTTATAACATAAATAGCGATGTGATTTAAACCTTTTCATTTCTATTAAAATTATTTTCACATGCTCTAACATTAAGTAATTCTTAAGACACACAATTTGAGGAACATGGGTCGGTGCTCCTTCTTTAGAGCACAAAAATACGAACTTGAATGAATTCAAAACCATTCACGAATTAATAGATGCCACTAAAAGACAACTAGCGATTGTTTCACCTGAGAGTCGCATACATATGGTGGGTGAGAGTCAGGACGGAGAATAATTGAAGATAATACAAGCTCTATTTAAGGCTCAGATTAGCATACGAATTATCTGCCAATCACCAGCGATGGACTAAGACGCTACAAAATTCAGACTCTGTACATGTACTATGAACTCAGCCAATATAGCCCAGGACTAGATTGGAATAGATAGATTCGATGAGATTATTGAGGTGTTCACTGATTTAGAGATTGTTTAGACTTGTAGAATAGTTTTTTTGTATTATAATATTAAATTATTTAGATGATACCCTTTTGGTGTAAGAGAACGAAGATTTGACGGTCGATAGTTAGAAAAAAAAAATGGGAAGATAAATAGAAACAAAAAGTCCGTGGGTTGGTGGAGTACTAGAATGTCATTTGGAAAAATTAGGAGGTTGAAGAGGGGGGAATACATGTACTTTTATTTTTTATTTTAAAAAATAAAATAAATACAAAGTGAATTTAAATAATTTTATTTATAAAATTGATAACAACTTGTTTGAATGAGCTATAAATTTATTTATTTTATCTTTAGTCTGAACGTATATATCGAATTAAAAAAAATATTTTATGATTTAGTATCTTGATCCAGATGTATATATTTGTCTAAAATTTGGTAGTATGTTCAAACATTTTTAAAATACCTATCATATCAATGCTTTATTAACATCTTGATATACAATTCTCCAAAAATAAAAGTTTCCCTCTCTAACTCTCTCGAGTTTGACTAATCAGTACTCAGTACCTTAAAAGTAATCCGGCCAATTAACCGGATGAAAGGCTAGTTTTATTTTTCATTATAGAGTTTTGAATTATTAAAAAAAAGAGGCCCAACTGCCAGACAGTTGATTCACGCCAAATTTGGCGCCCGTCCCTTGCACCAAGCTGCAATATGAAGCAGTGAGCAGAGCAGCATCCCGCTCCCAAAGAGACGAAAGGAAAATCGTGAAACCATTGTTGCATCTTCCGGAACCTTAGTGCTTTCTTCCTCCCTGCAAACGCAATCAATAATGGAGAACCTGGACTTGCAGATAAACAATGCGGAGCGAGAGGTCCTGGCTTTCGGAGCTCGCGTGGATGGTGCTTTGGGCGCAGAGGCGATCAACGCAGATGTCGGCAACCAACTGTAAGTGTTTGCGAACGACTAATTACTTGGTGTGTTAAAAGTGAATAATGCACAAGAACAAGCTAAAAGTGTATGCCAATTGCTCCAAATTAATCCACATGAATGATACTGTGTGTGTGTTTTATTTTTTCTTGGTGTTGATGATGGATGGTAGGCTGGATGAGGCCAGATGGGTTCATGAATCGGTGAATTCTGTAACAACGAGGATTGCAGCTACTCGGGCTGTAAGGGACGACTATAAGATAGGGATGGCAAAAATATCCGTAACCGTGGATATCCGCCCGAATCCGGCTTAATCGGGTAGGGTAAAACCCGAACCCGAAGGACATTTAGTGGGTACGAGTAAAAACCGAACCCGAATATTGCGGGTAATGGGTGGGCATGGGTTTCTCAGTATCCAACCCGAACCCGTCCGATTATACACATACATATGTATTTTGTCTTGAAATAGTCATTATTTATCTCTAACATATTTTATATTTAGCATATAAATATAATATTTTCATGAAATTGTGTTGTTTTAATTAATTTTCTTCATTCTAGTGAATTATTGTCATACTTTTCCTCTTGCGTATGTGAGAATACGCGTGAATGTTAACATATTAGTTTGAGTTATGAAGAGAAATCATTACCCATGGATAACCGTGGATACCCGAAACCCGAACGGGTATGGGCATGGTTTTAATTTTCTACCCGTTTTATGTGTGGGTATGGGTATGGGTAAAACCCGAACTACTTTAGGTAGGATAACGGATATGCACTATCCGTCCCCGATCCGACCCATTGCCATCCCTACTGTAAGACCGACTCATGGCTTTGCTGGGCTTTTCTTTGTTTTCATTTCTGATCTGCTTCAAAACTTCATTTCTTTTTATGGTGGTTGAAATGCAGGGCAGATGCTGCAATCCGTATCTGAACGAAAAAGCAGGTGGCTTCCAATTGAGAGAGGCTTTCGTGACAAGGTGAACAAGATGGCCAGAAGGGATCGCCGCTTTCTTCCTTTCAGTGTCGTTACTACTGTCATACCCTCAGGCTCTGCCAATCAAGAAGAGTATTCGGACCCGAGAGCCAGTTTAAGAACCGCTGTGGCCGAGTACAATCGAATCGTCAATCATGAAGATGAAGATCCTACAATCAAGATGTTGGACGATGATATTCAGAGTGCGACTGCTGAAGCCACTGATCGCTTACGAGCTCGGCATGGACAAGGACCCTTGATCCTGCGTGTCAGATCAGAGGCGGAAATCCAGGCCATTGCTCGCTTCAGAGATCTGGCCAATGGAGGCCCTATCCTGCTCACCACCTATCGACATGAAAGGAATTTTGCAACTTTGATGCGCGCAGCTCAGTTCTACGGGTTTGAAATCAGAGAGGAGTGAGTGAAACCTCCTTTGTCAACATCTCGAGTACCTGCTAAGCTAGCTAGCAAAGTTGATGATTTAGTAACTCATAGTTTTATATGAGTTCTTATGATAGCTAAGAAGAACCAAGTGGAAAGGAATTTTACCTGTAGTGAACTTGTAAGGATTTGGGTGAGCGGGACAACTCTAACTTACTTTGTTTGTAATGTATTAGCTCAATTCATTTCAACCCAATGATAGTTATGTAGCAGGTAATTTTAAGAGCAAATCGAACACAGTTTTGGTTTGTGGATGATACTATCTGATTTGGTATCTACAGTTGAAATTTTGCTGCACTGTTTTCTTAACCTGTTGAGACGATTAGAATGGTGTTGCTGGTTATTAATGGAATCCTGTTTTTACTTGATCGATCCTTCCCTTCTGTTCTGCTGTGTCTTCATCGGAGCCACTGTTTCGGTATGTTCATTTTTTAGTCTTTCTACTTTTGAACTAAAGTTTGTAGTAAATTTCCCAATGGTAGTTAATCTGGGATGGAACGCCCCAGTTGTCTCCTTTGAGACAACAAATTGGATGTCAATATAAGCTATCAAATTACGTTATTATTCATGGAGTTCCACATTTCCATCTTCAACGAGATACCAACTACATAGTGAAGGCTTATTCAACTACTTAAAGCTAATAGCAACAGTAATAACAATGGAAGAATACATTTGTACTTGATGACAGGAAGAGCAGAAAAGAAAAGAAGAACTTGATTGGGACAATAATAACATGTTAAATAAGAATCTTCTTCTTCCTCTTCTGCTGCTTCTTCTTCTTCCTTTTCTTCTTGCTCTTCTGCTTCTTCTTGCTCTTCTTCTTCTTCTGCTTCTACTTCTTGTTCTTCTTCTGCTGCTGCTTCTTCTTCTTCTTCCTCTTGATAGAGCAACAAGTACTTATAGATACGTGAAGTGAATTTGGGAGGTGGTGGTGTGAGAGCTGAGTCGAGCTTCCAATTCCATCTTAGCTTCAGAGATATGAGCATCAACCTGAAGTGGTTCCCTGGGGGCAGTGGATCTTAAATTTTTGGTATCAATAAGGACCTGCTTCAGTGAAGGCGAGGCCATAATGATGTAGGCAGCGAGCTCCATCTGAGGTTTGCGACAATCAACAACCTGCCAGTCGCTAGGATGTACCCCGTGCAGCTGAAGCACCTGCAGAGAGTGATGCTTCCAAGTTGGCAACTCCTGCTCAGGATCCTCCCACTTATTGTAGTAGTACAAATGTATGAACGATATGAACAGTTGGCGCAACATTGGAGCTGCCCTCAGCAGGGCCGTGCACTCCAACATACTTGTACCAGCAATGTCTATATATATGGATAAATCCAACACCGTGAGCTTCTCAAACCGCAACCATTCAGGAGCCCGAACAGATAGAGGTTTAAAGTTGTCAGTGGTGAGGTCGTACTTGAGAAACTGCAATCGAGGCGCAAACTTGTTGGATTCAGACCGAGACCACGGGAAGTAGCAGTGTTCATCACCATCCGCCGCAAACTGGATGTCCCCGAATTCGACCCTTGGGACGACTGGTCCTCCACCCACCTTCAAACTACGAAAACCAGGGGCAGAAAAGATTTCAATCCTAGTGACATTGTGGAACTCTTCTTTTGGACACCAAAATGTCAGCCTCTGCAGGTTGTCGTTGTTGGGACGACAAATTCTGATCACTGTATCCTCGTCGTGGAAGGAGCAATTGTTGAGAGCCAGGTGCTGCAGTGAGTGGCAGCGTGACAAGACATGATCCAGAGTTCCTCCAGGAATCTTGGACACGTCCTGAAACTCCAAAACCTCGAGGCGGCTGAGGTCTTGCTTGGCGACGAATTCAGGGGTGAAGAGGGGGACAGGGATCGCGTCGCGAGCCTCCCAACCGGGGCGCAACAGAGACAGTAGGGTAAGTCGTTTGACTCCCTCGCCCATACCGAATTGGATCCACCTCCACCCAGCCTCTTCCATCTCGGTAAACTTGAACACAATCTTCAACTCGTCCAGTCTGGTTTTGGACTGTCGGATCAAACCGATGGCTTGGTCGACCCGGTCCACGAACCCCCGCCGCTGCGACTCGGATCTCCTGTCGTCGTCGGACTTTTTGAAATCCAGAACCGCGCTGTCGATCAACTGCCACATGTTCCTCCACCGTTTCCCCAGTAGGATGCTGTATCTTGCCGCTTCGTTCATTGTGGTCGCCGACCGCGAAAGGATCCCCACCGCTAACTCATCCGGCAGTTTCGAAAATTGGTCGGTTGTTGCTTCTTCTTCGCCGCCGCCGACCAACGGTGTCGCCATTCCAAAGTTGTTCCTCCTTCTCTTTCTGCCTTGTTCCGCTTCACAGATCGACATTCTACTTTTTTGTTTTTTCGCCAAAAGAAAAAGAAACCACCTCCAGCCCCAAACCTTAATTTTATATATGTTCTGTTTCCTTTTACTTGTCCCTCTCATCCTCGGACTCGGAAAGGGAAGCCCCGCTTGGTTTCCAACTTCTCCAAGGAAAGGATCCATTTTATACAAATCCAGCCCATGAGTAATATGGGTTATTGAATTCGTGGGCTTCGCTCGGCCCATTTGACATTCTCTCTGAAATCTACGAGAGAAGTCCGGCGATCGTCGCCTTCTCCTTCCCGACCTCCTCCCTGTCACTACTCGGCTTCCGCCGTCTCCAGTAGACTACAGCTGCCTCCGCTCATCCATCGGCTTGGAGTCTCGGGAGTTGTGCTGCAACTTTCTTGTCCGAACTCCTCCCAGGTACCAATCTTACTTCAGTCACCGATGCCTCCAATCTCTTACTAATCAACGGCCGAATGCTGAGGGAGGTAGGTCGCTTCTCTCCCCTTTCATTCCCTTTGAGTCGCAATCAAAGTGTCAGTTTATGATTACGATTAGTGGGTACCTGGCGATTTGGATTTTCGTCATTTAACTTGATTCCTTTGCTCGGTTGATAGATTCTTGAGTTCAGTTGTTGTAATGAGTCGGGATATAGTCAAGCTGTGGGAAAAAAAGAAGGTTTTTGTCCGACACTTCACTTAGGTAGACTACGTCAACTTAAGCTTGACTTTATTTCCCCCCATTTGTGAAAGATAATCTTGTATGACTCGTGCATTTGATAATGTAGAATGGAAGTTTGCTTGATGTCTTTCAGTTTAACTTTACTATGTTTTGTAGTGATGTTTAGAGAGGTGAGGACTCTAAATGAAATGAAATGTTTCTGCCATCATTACTAACTGGATTTGTTGGTTGTACAGTACTATGCAGAAGAGTTGGTGTATGTAACAGATCATGATGGATCGTAATCTGCAGCAAGAGATGAATGAATCATCTATTACTACCCCGAGGTTTACTTACATACATGATCGCGAGAGGGCCTTCGGCAGCATCCAATTAATGTGCATCATGGTTATAGTTTGGCAAAGCAATCTGAAGAGTTCTATTAATGTGCCTGCTTGCTTTCTGTTTCTCAGCAAAATGGATTCTACCTCTTCTGGGTCCTGGAGGCTGCAACTCAGGAAATACAACTTTTCAATCGACAGGATAAATCACCTTTTTAGTTCTTTTGTGGAGTCTAGTGTTCAGTTCAGTCCTTCTCAAACTTGGTATTGGCAAGTCTGTTATGAAAGGTTAGACGTAATGAAATCAGGCTCTTCTACAAAGCATATTTTTTTTGTTAAAACTCTATATCCTGTTCGCTAGTTGCTAACATAGGCTGGCACTTGCAGAGTTGGTTTTGATCATGCACATTTCGGAGTTCAACTTGAAACACATTATAGAAGGTATGCACATAAGTTTTTTTTTGGTATTTGGCCATCGCCATAGCCAGGGAACTGGGAAGTACAAAATAATAAAGAGTTAGCTGGCTGATGTAGGGGTTTGAGATTGCTTCTATTTGCAAGCCTCTGTCTTTCAAATTAAAACACACAGCGTCATACCATTTTGATCGGAATTTCTGCAGAAGGTCCTTGTTGACCTGTTCTTTTTATCCCCTTCCTACTTCTGTATTGTCTGCTGTGCAGTGGAAGAATATCTCGCCATTTTTGTGCCAGTAAGCAAGATATTTACTGGATTTTGTCTCTGATTTTGCAGAAGGAAGAACTCACTCCGGTTTTCAAAGTATGAATACAAGTTGTGCACATTTCTTCAGATTTTTAAAATCCTCCACAACTCATTCACGTTTGGTGATAGTTATGGCGTCGTATGAACTGACAGCAAGAATAACTTAGATGAATATGCACCAGATTTGCTATCTTCTCGAGTTCTGATTTTACATAGCGTTGATCAATGATTTGGAATTTTGGTCGCGTTCAGGAGTTGCATCCACCTTTGATAATGCTGCTGGTTCCTATCTGGAAAGCATTGTATTGTATGGTGCTATCCGGTTCAGCATGGCGCTGCAGGCGTTGAGGTCAGTTGCTGAGAGGTACAGCGCAAGCAGTGCCAGTGTTGCAGGTCATCATTCCCTAGGAGGCTGGCTTTGCTCTTCAGATTGACAAGGCGTTGGCTAAAGAAGGCATATTTGTGGATGTTCGTCTCTTCAAGCCACCTTCTGTGTCTCTCGCTGTGAGCTTCAAGAACATGGGGGAGAAGGCTGAGTTCGCCTGAAAGAAGTTGAAGGCTATGATTCCTTATGCTGCTAGTGCTGAAACAGTGGTTATTCTGGGTTGTGGTCCTTATGGAACTGTGTTGGGGACAAAACAAACATGGGATTCTATTTTTTTTGTGACGAAATGCTATGCTGGTGTAACAAAAAATAATTAGAGTTATTTTTTGTGGGCAAAGAACAATTTTACCTTTAAACTTGTCTGTTGTCATTTTGGCTTATGAATATAAACTATTTCTTGTTTTCTTTTTGGAGAACCTCTCTTAACTGGACACTGATTCTTTTATTGAATCATCAATTCATCATTAATTGATTCCCCTCACGACTCCCTCATAGAGTTTACTATGCAAATTAAAGGTCGAAAAATAGAAGAATAGTTTATATTGAATGAAGACGTACAATGCTCGATCTGTTGAAATAAGAAAATGTGACATACGAGAAGGACACACCGGAAATTGTTCAATTAAGGGATATCGAGTTTGGATGCCGAGTTCAAGGTTCACCAAATTTTGAATTTTGGAAGATGAGGGAGGAAATTGACCCACATCTTTTCTCTTTTGTGGCTTTACTTATTATCAGTGTTATTAAAGCCGAGCCGAGCCGCTCGGCCTGACCGGTAAAACCGCCACCCGGTCACAAAACCGGCTCGGCACAGTCTAAAAACCGCTCTGGTTTTATGTAGCGGTTGGCAAGCGGCCGAGGCGGTTAACCGTTCGAGCCGATTGAGCCGCTCGTCCGGTTTTTGCCATTCAGCCATTAAATTTAATTAAAAAAATTGCAAAATTTTGAAAATTGAAATAATCCAAAAACGTCGTGCTCTCAAACTGAATCCTTATTTCCATTTCACAATTTCGAAGGAAAGAGATGAGCTCTAATTAAGAAATGTCCACTATTTATAGTCAAGGTTCAGTAAGGCGCTAGGTATGAAGTGTTGAATAAGTTGCTTAGAGCATGCACTCCTCACTATAAAAAAATCTGTCGTACCACTGCTACAAATGATGTCTTCGAGACATATAAAATCTTTAAAGGAAAGATAAAATCTCTTCTTGAAGGGGTGAATAGGATGAGCTTAACAACAGATTTGTGGAAGTCTAATCAGACTGTGCAGTATAGGGTTCTTACTTGTCATTTTGTGGACAATGATTGGGTGCTGCAAAAACGAGTTCTTAATTTCTGCCATGTTGAGCCACCTCATACTGGACTTGTTGTGTCTGATGCATTGCACAAATGTTTGGTTGATTGGGATATAGTAAAAAAAGTGTGGGCAATCACAGTAGATAATGCTTCTTACAATGATAGTGCTCTGAAGCATTTGAAAGGAATTCTTAGTCATCAAGGTGCATTTCCTCTTGCCGGAGAAATGTTTCATATCCGATGTTGTGCTCACATACTTAATATATTAGTGCAAGATGGTTTGGAAGAGATTCAAGAGATAGTTAATGATGTTAGAGAAAGTGTTAAGCACATTGTTGCTTCTGAAGTTCGAGTTGCAATATTTCGGGATATTGCTAAGCAACTCGAGTTGCCTACCAAAAAGCTTGTTCTAGACTGTTCTACTCGATGCAATTCGACTTATCACATGATATCTATAGCCTTAGAGTTGAAAGATGTGTTTCCGATGTAAGAAAGAGACTCTTCGTATCATTCTCTCCCAACAGAGGATGCTTGGGAATATGTTAAAAATGTGTGTGACTTTCTTGAATTGTTTGATGATGTCACAACTATGATCTCTGGAAGTGATTATCCAACTGCCAATCTGTTTCTTCCAGAGCTTTGTGATATTAAACTGTTATTGAAAGCTACTTTGAACTCAAGCAATGCAAGTACGAGGTCTATGCCTTCCCGAATGCTTAAGAAGTTTGATAAATATTGCGGTGAGGCTAATTTGGTGGTTTCCCTTGCTGATGTCTTGGATCCGAGGAACAAATTCAAGATGCTTGAAGCTTATTTTCCAGATTTGTACACTCCGGCAGATTCTGAGATGCATGTTCGGTTGGTCCGAGATAAGTTGTATAAGCTTTTTCATGAGTATATCGAGGACTTCAAAGCTAGAAATGTTGCATCAAGTTTAAGTGAAGATCAAAATGTTGCATCTGCTAGTACATCAATTGGAAATTCTAAGAAAAGAAGTGGAAGAGCAAGGTTTGATTCCATGATTCAAAATGTCAACTTTGCTTCTACCATGAAATCTGAGCTTGATATCTATCTTGAGGAAGGTCTTTATGTGCATACTAAGGAGTTGATGTTTGATATCATTGGCTGGTGGAAAGAGCAGAGGATAAGGTTCAAGATTTTATCGAGGATGGCTTGCGATATTATGGCAATTCCTGTTACATCGGTAGCTTCTGAAGCTACCTTTAGTGCTGGAGGAAGGGTGATTGATCCTCAACGTGCATCCTTGGGAGAAAAGTCTGCTGAGGCTCTACTTTGCTCTCATGATTGGTTAAGAGCCCATCATGGCTTAAAAGGAAATTCTGAGGTGTATTTTAAGTACACAATTTATGTTTAAGTTTGGATATGCATTGTTGTTATGTTATTAATTCTGATAAAGACTCTATTTCTTGTCTTTGTAGGCTATGACGAAGAAAGAAGATATTATCGAAATTGACTTGGCCTAGAAAACCTTGGTTAGTCTTGTTTGCGTATGTTTCTGAATCAATTCCAGTTGCTGTTTGTTTTCTAATTGGAGAGCATTGTCCATTCTCTCAACATGTTTTTATATTCTGTTACTACTTACTTCTATGCTTTCATAATAATTTCCAGCTGCTGTTTGTTTTCTTATTGGAGAGCATTGTCCATTCTGTGAGCTTGTTTTCCTATTCTAATACTTTTATGATTTCTTAATAATTCCAGCTGGTCTTTGTTATTCATTGGAGAGACATTGCTTCCTTATATTATAGTGCATGTAGTTTGAGTCTTTGGTTCTGTTATCAACATAAATACAGATTTATTAGTTAAGAAAAATGGATGATACAATGGATTTCTCATATCTTTATATTACTTTTATGCAGGGGAATGTGACTTGACAACTGATGAGTCGTGTTGAAGATGATTGATGCATCTTTTCTTTTGAATTTTGAGACTTGTCGGTTGAGTTTCAAACTCCCAATTTTATGGTAGTTTAGAGTTTCACAACTTGTTCACAAATATGTTTAAATTCAGTTAGTATTTGTAAAGATGTGATGGACCATCAAACAGCTTTTGTCAAATTCGATGGTCTAAGTAGGATGTACATATGGAAATTGCGATTCAGAATGTGTTTTATTTTGCTAGACTATGCTACATGTTAGAATGTAATTTTGAGCAGAGTTCTAGCTCAATCTTTAGCTACAAGCCTACAATGGAACATTTTATGAGCTGAACTCTATATTGGCTCGTTAAGCACATTTGTCGAGCCGAGCTCGAGTGGCTCGTTAATCACTTTTGTTGAGCCGAGCTCGAGTGGCTCGTTAAGCTCATTTGCCGAGCCGAGCTCGAATCGAGCTCGAGCTTTCATTTGTCCTAAACGAGCCGAGCTCGAGCTTGCCCATCAAAGCTCGTGTCCTAAACAAGCCGAGCTCGAGATTGAGATTATTTTAACGAGCCGAGCCTGAACTATGGCAAAGCTCGGCTCGACTCGGCTCATTAACAGCCCTATATGCAGCTGCTTCTTTAGCTAGTAAGCATTCCAAAAATATTTGACTTAAAACTCAACAGGGGAGTAAGCTTCTTCCCTTTGCTGCATCATCACAGGCTGCTGCCTTTTCTTTCGGTTGCTGGAACATGAACTTCGTCTTCTTTAAAACACTTCTTCTCTTCTGATTGCATTTTTTTTTTGAATGTGTTGCCTCTGAACTTGCAGCTTCTCTTTCTTCCTTTATTTTTGATTTTCTCTGAACTGAAAACAAGAAAATTGAAACTCCTGTAGTGCAGGAGCTAGCAACTGGCTTCTCCTTCCCACACAATCATGAAACTCGACAAACAAACATTCAACCTTTTGATGGAATTAATCTTGACAACCTGGTCATTCTTCTCTGTTTGAATGTCTTTCTTTTCAATCGAAGCTTTCATTCCACACTCAGTAATGGAAGATTTCACACAAGCAAATTCTCTAACTAGTGCTGGACCAACAACTCCATTCTCGACAGCTTTCTTCTTCCCATTCACTACGGTAATTTCAGCATCAAGGTCAAATTTTTACCTTCCTCAACTGGGTTTTCTCCGGTGGGTATGAAATGCCTTCTTCCAACAATTACCTTGTGCTCTACCATCATCCTCTGCCTCAAACTCTCGAATTCAAGATCAACCCTTTTAGCATCCTCGACAGGCCATTTGTGACAATGACCCTCGTTCCGTAAATTGGATTTTCCTCTGGGAAACCAGAGTTGGCCCTGTTTGCACCGTTGGTAAGACCCACATCCTCAAGCTGGTTTTTGAATTTCTCTGGTTTGTGAAGGGATTGGATCTCTTCATTTGTTTCCTCGAGACCGGGGAAGATGTCATTGTCTCTCCTGCTGTCGAAGAGGATGGGTTTGATCTATGATTTGGCGGTGACAGGTTTCCTCGCAGGTGGCGGAGATGCTCGATGGAGCTGCTCATTTGTGACTCAAGCTTGTTGACGACGATTTCAGATCTGGCGGCTGAAGCTCGCTGCGAGAGAGCTTTCGTGGTAGCTGGGAGAAGGTATGACTGGGCTGAGTACGAGCATCGGGACTTGTGCTACTGGATTTGCCGATTGCTCAAAGGCGACAAGAGATACGATTGCGACTCAGAAGCACCAGTAGAAAACTAGATCTGTATTATTGGGTTGAAAATAGTGATGGCAAAGGGGCGGGGCGGGTACCTCAATTCCCATGCCCCGCCCCACGCTACTACGTGTCGGGCGGGTAAAACCCGCGCGGGTACGGGGCGGGGAGGGTCGACCCACTCTTACATGTTGTTCAAAAAAAAATATAAGTAAATTTTACTTTTTACAATAAAACGTAGGGAAAAACACTTTAAGAATGAAAAATATTGATAATAGAATGGATAATTGAGCCTAACAAGTTGAAAGATCGACTCTAACTAGTTGAAGAAAAGTCAAAATAGGAGAAATATGTATAGATATTGTAAGAAATTGAGATAAAATGAGTCTAGAACAGGGCGGGGCGGAAGTAGATACCCATGCCCCGCCCCATGCTACTGCGGGTCGGGTAATACCCGCCCCATCGCGGGTCAGGTCGGATAATACCCGCGGGGTGGGTTGAAATTGCCATCACTAGTTGAAAAGGGAAAGAAAAGGCGATGATTTTGCGGCGGAAGGTATTAGGGATGAATGGGTTTAGAACTGGAAGATGTGAAATGGGGATTGGGGGATTTTTGGGGAAGATCGGGTTGGTTGCGATTCTTTTGTTCTGAGGATTGAGGAATTGGGAGGAAGTTTGGGCAATTTGGCCGAGGAGGGATGGTGGGTAAGCACCGATGGTGAAAACACACAAAAGTAGCGAAGAGATGGTGAACACCACAACTAGTGCTGGGATTTGGGGAAGAAATGCAATGGTGAAGTTTTTTTTTAGGGTTTATGATTTGAAAATTTCATATCTGGACATAGTCTTTATTTTTTGGGTAGAGGGTTTTAGAGCTCTCTAGGATCTAGAGGCTCTGATATCATAATAACAAAGTTGAGTTATGAAAAATGAAACCCTAGAACCTTTGGGTGTTTCTCATTCATAATTGGGTTTAAATACTCTAGTTTGGCACTACAAGACAAATCGTACCAGCTTGTTTTTGGAGAACCATAAACTTAAAACAAACATTACAACTCATACCAAAGTCTAAACATTGCAATAAACTAAACTTGATGATGATGATAACTTCCTCTAAGCCTTGTCGATCCACTTTGACATTCATGGTCGTCGGTTTGAGTCTTGACGATCTTTTAATATCTCCTATTAGAAGACCAGATCGTTGCCGCAGCTGCCTACCACCTCCATCCATGCCGCCATTGCAGTCCTCCACCCGCGTCACTACTTTCGTCGTCGTAGCACCAGACCGCCGCCGCGCTTTTCCCATCGTTGATCTACCACAACCACCGCCTCTAAAACCACCATCGTGCCTCAAACATCATCGATCTCCACCGCCGCTCGTTGCAAGCCTCTTGCCTCCACCATCATCGACAACCACAGTGTCGGCGGTCCATCTCCAATTTCGTGGATCGACACTACCACAACTAGTCGTTGGTCGTTGCAGAAGAAAGAAAAGGGGGAAAATCTCGATTTGGGCTCTGGAGTGCTCTCTCTGCGTCGGATTAGAGGTGGGGATTTTTCATCAATTTCTTCTAATTTTTAAAAACTACTACACTAGCCACGTAACCTAGTTAAATTGAAGAAATACTGTAGGAAAGTTATTGTTTTGGTTCCTCAGTTTTCTAAGGGATGGTTTGATTTTGGTGATTATTTGGTTGGGATAGTTACAATGCATGCATTGTCCATAATACATTGTTTTTTTTTTTTTTTTGAAATTTTTGCACAAACTATACATGCATTGTTTGCTTTATGTGATGGAAACTATCACTCAAAATGAGTGATAGTAACATCTCAAGATTTTGGTGAGATTGTTGGAGTTTTTTTTCAACTATGTCCCTACCTTTTGATGTGTATTGCTTTTTTATATTAAAAACAAAGGATAAAAGTGACATTTCACCAGTAAGCAATATGTCTTATTTAAATACTAGAATAACTATCACAGAAACCAAAAGATGTAAACTACAATATATCAATTTTCTTATATGCATGTATATTATTATACATGCATTGATAACAATGCATCTATTTAACTATCACCAAAACCAAACGACCTCTAAATCTCAAGTTTTTTTGTGAGATTGTTGAGATTGCTTGTTTGAGATTGTTGAAGTTTTTTCTTCTTCCAACTATGTCCCTACCTTTTGATATGTTTTGCTTTTTTATTTAAAAAAAAAGGATTAAAGTGACATTTCACCTAAAAAGTATTATATCTTATCTAAATACTACAATAACTATCATAGAAACCAAACTATGTAAACTACAATACATCAATTTTCTTACATACTGATACATGTATATTATTATGCATGCATTGATAATAATGCATCAACTTAACTATCACAATTTAATTATCACCAAATTCAAAGTGACCGAAATAACCATCCCTTTAATAAGAATTCTCAAAAATAAAATAATTGTTGCCTTCTCTTAAGATGAGCGATTATTGATTAACCACCCAACCTAGAAGCTTATCTTACTAGCTAATTGCTACTCCTTCCTTAATCGCATTTCACAGTTCAAGTAGTTCAATCAACACATAATTATTTAAATCTTAAATTAGGAACGGATGCGTTCTGTAAATTATTTAACCGATAGATATCTCAATTGAATTCGTTAAATTTAACGCCAATCGAACTACGCGAACTTTGATCCTGAGATGTCGGGTACGTAGACAACCGGAAGGTTCAAGTCCATAAAACTCTTTAAAATATTAATTTATCAAATGTTACGTTATATCATTACCGATGGGTACATGATCAATTTATCACCTAACTTATTTTAAATAAATTACGATCGATGGATCGTGTTCAAATTAAACAGCTATTATGTATCGATGGGTACGTGATCAACACTCA